AATTATGACTCATTTATGATCAACTTGATATTATAATACATAAAAATATGCGTGCTGTTCTTATAATGATGACCAAAGCTTTCATTAAAGCTACACATTAACAAAAATGGTAGAATTGCCATAGACAGTAATAACAACACATTACTGGACAATCTTGGACTTACCTCAGTAAGACAACTTTACCCTTTGAACCCACTGCTAAGTCAGGAAGTCTATCACCACTATGATCAAAAGATGACTGACTGATTGATAAACCAAAGAACTTCAGTCCTGACTGGACCTCAGAGCCAGTAATTCTCTGTACATATGGAAATGTTTCAATTAATCAAGCTGCAGATTGTATAGTTACATGATAGATGAGTTTAGACATGTTGTGTACCTGTGAGTAAGTAGGGCTGATTCGTCCTCCTTCACTGTGGAATATGTAGATGCTGCCTTCACCATTATTCTCCAAAGGTGCTCCAACTGCCAAATCCCTGAATCCATCTGAGTTTAGATCAGGCAGTACAGCAAGAGAAGAGCCGAACCTTCCTTTGACAGCTGCACGTCCTCTTAGTACTAATGGATCATCAAAATTACACTCCACAAACTGAAAGGAGGAAACTGAGAGTGTTTTTATGGCCATTAAAAAGTCGACAAATAAACTGATTAATTCCGTGGCAGTACTTAAAATGCAATTTACCAAACCAGTTAATCTGCAAATATAAACTCTTCCCTCTCTATCAGGCTCCGTGTACATTGGGGCTGATATGAAGATTAGATCAGTGATGTCATCATTATTTATGTCCATGGTACACACCTCTGCCCCGAAATATTCACCAGTCTGATACTGTGTAAGGAACAAATTATTAATGAAAATAATTGCAAAAAGGAATATAATAAAAAAAAAAAAAATGTGATCAATTTTAAATCAATTATGAATAAATAGTTTACAATGTTCAGAGAATATTCTGATCTGCTTTGTTCTAAATACATACCTGTGATGAAAAGGGCTCAATCTTTTGGTTTTTAAAGGTTTGTCTATTAACAGCGACCACAACTCCTCTGTGTTTATATCTTGGAGCACCAACAATTGTCAGTGAACCACTTTGGGTTTTTGCAACTGCCATGGAGTAACCTAGAATTTAGGTATTCAGAAGAGGAATATAAATTAAGACTCCTTATTCCTGCTTTTAAATTTTGTTCATTTTACCAAAATAAACAAAATTTAAAACTGTAATATTCTTACCAAGATAACTGTCAGGCTCCAAAGACACATCCTCATATGTTTTCACTTTCTGGCCCTCTGTTGTGTATTGCACGTAGCCTCCTTTCCACTGGTTTGCACCAACAATAGACATCTGAATTCCCTACAGTGCAGACAGAAAATCCATTTTATATACAATTTAGTCATAAAGCCATAAGACCTGCCACGCAGGGACATGTGAATCTTTTTTTCTATGACTAGACTGTTTGTTGAATTTCAGGTAGTTTTAATTACCCCAGGCACATAAACTGCGCTGAATCCCTCTTGAGACATTTCCATTTTCAATGTGGCCCCACTGGTTTGAGATCCTGTAACATAAAAATAAATAAGAGTGTAAAAGACAGACAAAATAAAACAAATTCCACTTTGAAATTTCATCCTTTCATTATGTTTTAAGTAATTATTTTAAAAGATTTTTCGCCATTTATAATGAAAGTACCTCTCAATTTATTCTTCATTTTACTAAGGTATAGTAAAGCAATGTTTAGCGTGAAGGAAAATGCAATAAGCAAGCATGACAAACAAAAAATGATAGGCATATTAAAGTAAATTAAAACAATAGAATCCACACATTAGAATAAATGAAAGCAGTAATATCACGGTCAAACTGTGTCAAAAGCCAAGGAATAAAAATGGGTTTTAAGACATGTTTTAAAAATGGAAAAAGGAAGTTTATTCCAGAGATTACAAGAAGCAATAGAGAAGGCCCTGTCCCCTCTGAGCTTCCTCTTGGACCTGGGTACCTCCAGGAGCAGCTTGTCAGCTGACCTGAGAAACCTGGGGGTTGAGTAAGGATGAAGAAGCTCAGATATGTAAAGTGGGGCAATTTAAGCGTTTAAAGACAAATATTAGAATTTTAAAATTAACTTCATGATATACAGGCAGCCAGTGGAGTGAAGCCGGGATGGGAGTTATGTGCTGTTGCGAGTTCTGGTTAAAAGTCATGCAGCGGCATTTTGAACCAGTTGCAGATGAGAGAGAAGACACTAACTCCAAAATACAGCGCATTACAGTAATCCAAACAAGATTAAATGAAAGCATGGACTACTGTTTCAGCCTGAATAAAATAGGTTTTACCTTTGCCAAGCACCTTAAATGACATGTTGAATGTGCCTTGAATGTCCAGTTTAAAATCACTGTCCATCTTAAAACCCATGTTAGTAATCACAAGTTTAAAATACTCTGCCAGGGTTCCCAAATCAATAGAGGAAGAATCACAAGGTCCACTAAGACCAAACCCAATCACCTCTGTTTGCCTTGCATTACATTTTAAAAAGTTTAGGGCCATCCAAGTTTCTATATCTTCTAGACATGCCAGAAGCAGTTCAATAGAGAAAGCATCTTTCTGCTTCAGAGGCAGATAAATCTGGCAGTTGTTAATAGTCTCATAGTTTCAGTGTCTCCATAGTGTATTGTTTTGCAAAGTTGCCTAACAAGATCATGACCTCCGTTATAGATGAAGAGAGATGACAATCTTTTCTTCTTTTGTTGTTGCATGGGAAATGGTGTCTGGTGTATAATAATCTTTTGAATAAGTGAGAAAGTAGTATTTAATACAATTTTTAATTCTTGAAAGATTTACAGGAATTTTAACAAAGTTGTAATAATAAATTTGTGTTTGTACCTTCAATGGAGAAAATTTTTTCCTGTAAAGTCTGTCTTATTATTTCAAGTGCGTTGAAATTCTCCACTTGAAACACGTGTTTGGAGGAGGGAGATGATGCAATGGTGTGCAGTTCTTTTTTTGCTTCAGATTTAGTAAATGCATTCCCCACCTACGATTGTTTAAAAAAAAATGTTTCAGTTTTTGTAGTGCAAAATTTGGTGACAGTCAATAAACTTTTTAAATCCCCATTTATACTAACATTCATACTAACACACTAACAGATGGTTATTTTACATTCTAACATTAATTATGCATACAAACTGAGCCCTGATGTGGGAGACCACAAAAAGTTACAGAGTAGGGTCACTGAGTGCTTAGCAGGTATGAGTTCACGGCATGGGTTTCCATGGATAAGCAGCTTCTGGATTACTTGTCTCGATATATCGTAGTGTCATGTAACTGTAATATGGCAACTGATCAAAGCACATTATCAGTGTGAAATTCAACATTCTGCAAGTTTAAATGTTGGAAGTACTTACCCCAATAACAAATCGAACAATGTTTTTATTCTCTGCTAGCTGTGCTGCGTTTCCTAGATCATGCCGGTCATTAGATTCTCCATCAGTAATTACTATCAAGACCTTCTTTACATTTTGTCTTGACAGTCTTTGTGGTGTGAAAACAATGTTTCTGTCAATAACCAAAAAAGAAATGGAAAAATCTAATTTCAACAAACCATCATTCAACCATCAGTGCATCTTGTGGTAATAGGTGCATGTTTCATTAGTATTTAAGCATTCATATTTTGATTTATCTTTCAGAATTACAGAGATTTTTATACTTTATTTTGAATTTTATACTTAAATTCAGCTAATGCCAGTATGAATTTACCCTTCAAAACACAAGTTTGTATAGATTTCTCCTTTGAAATTCTCACACATTCTCACTATTGGTCAAAGTCTACGCAGCATTCAGTGTGACCCATTGCAAATAAAGAATTCATCATAACAGGTCAAGTGTTTCCAATGAAATAACCCTATTTATTTTTTCAGTAATATCATCACATTTCTTACACAACATGTCTGATGGCCTTAGCCGTGTAAGTATAACCTCCCAGCTGTCTGATTCCATCGATGTCAACCTTCACTGATCCGGATGAGAAAAATTCCTTAAAATAAAAATGAACCTGGGGTGATGTAGAGAACTGGGAAATAGAAAACTGCAAAAGAGAGAAAAATATTTAAAACACTGGCTTCATTAAGCTAAATTGAATTAAGAATAATTTATGTTTGTGTTATAATTTAACTGACAGAGGTAGTAGAGTGTCTCACCTGTGCTTCAACTGTAAAAAATGACTGGATTAGATTTTTCACAAACTTCTTCATTGTTTGAAAATCAAAAGTAGATACGCTGCCTGAACCATCCAACAGAAAGGCAATGTCTACTTGTGACGGACACTCTAGAAAGAGATTAATTTCAGACTGAAATTAATGTTAAAGGGTTAATTTTAACATTTTTCCTTGCACTCATTTGAGCTTTGGTAAATGGACTTTA